GGTGAGCCTCAGTGCCAGTTGTTAGTGGTGGCCTTGGCCGTGCTGGGGAGCAGCTGGACTGGATGAGCTTAAAGGTGTTTTCCAACCTGGCTGATTTTGTGGTTCTATGATCTTCACACAAACTGGCTTCTGGTCCTTACCAGGGGAGCAGCGTGTCCTCAGCTCTCTGTCCTTGCTTCGGCCAAATGACTGCTGTGGGCAGGGGGGTCTCCTGCCTCCTCTTCTTACCCTCCGTATGGGTAGGGACCGTGCCACAGAGCTGGGGAAGACGTTGGGGCCCAGAGCTGGCAGCAGAAAACCCAAAGGATGCTCCAAGCATCTCTGAGCTCCATCTCCCCGCTGCCAGGCTCAGCTGGGGTTAAATCCAGTTTCCAAACCCACCAGGGTGTCCTGTGGGGCTGCTCCCCACCTGCCACCATAGGACACCCCCTCTGACCCCGCTCCCACTGCTCCTCCAGGTTTACTCTCTGGATTCAGCTGACTCCTTCCAGAGCTTCTACAGCCCGCACAAGGCGCAGATGAAGAACCCGATCCTGGAGCGCCTGGCGGAGCAGATCGCCACGCTCTGTGCCACGCTGAAGGAGTACCCGGCCGTGCGGTACAGGGGGTAAGGACAGCACCCCCTGCTCCCCCTGCGGACAGGTCCTCTGCCCCAGCAGCGTGGTGGAGTTGGGGCCATGCTGAGCATGGAACATGGATGTGGCTGAGGACAGTGTGGGGATGGAGGAGATGGGGATGGATGGACACAGTGGTCAGTGTAAAAGAGGCTCAGACTTGAGGATGCTCTGGGAGATGGGTTAGGATCCTAAAACCCAAGTGAAGCACTCCAAGGAGAAGTGGGAATAGGCGACAAAACCTGCTGAGGTGCCTCTTCTCCCAGGAGCAAAGGGCATTGCAAAGGGAAACCAGCAGCTCCTCTCCATCCCGTGCCACTGCCCCAGGGAGCTGACCTCTCCCTCTGCTTCCTGCAGGGATTACAAGGACAATGCCATGCTGGCACAGCTCATCCAGGACAAGCTGGATGCTTACAAGGCTGATGATCCCACCATGGGCGAGGTGAGCAGGGACGAGTCACAGTCACAGACCCCAAGTGGGGACCCCAAAACGTCCCCAGCATCCCCCAAATGCCTATGGGGCTGGAGGAGCCCCCGGCCCCACTGCTGATGCTTGCCCCCACTCTGCAGGGCCCAGACAAGGCTCGTTCCCAGCTTCTCATCCTGGACCGTGGCTTTGACCCTGCGTCGCCGGTGCTGCATGAACTGACTTTCCAAGCCATGAGCTATGACCTGCTGCCCATCGAGAACGATGTCTACAAGTGAGTGCAGTGCTGCTGTCCCCAGAGTCCCCATGGTCCCTCCAAGGGCATGAGCCTGCCACAGGCAGGGACACCTTCCACTAGAGCAGGTTGCTCCAAGCCCCCGTGTCCCACCGTCCAGGCCAGGGAGGGCGCAGCCACAGCTTCTCTGGGCAACCTGGTCCCCCACCTCCTTTGAACCCAGGCACCAAGCATGTCCCTACAGGCCCCACTGTGATGCTCCTTGTCCTCTTCCCAGGTACGAGACTAGTGGCATTGGGGAAGCACGGATTAAGGAGGTTCTCCTGGATGAGGATGATGACCTGTGGGTCACCCTGCGCCATAAGCACATCGCCGAGGTGTCCCAGTGAGTGTCCCTCCTTGCTGGCATTGCCACACACCCCACTGTTAGTGTCCCTCCTAACTGACAGCTCTTTCCCACTCTCCCCAGGGAGGTGACCCGGTCCCTGAAGGAGTTTTCTTCCAGCAAGAGGATGAACACAGGCGATAAGGTGACCAACTGCATCCACCAAGCTGGGGATGGGGTGGGGGCAGAGGAGGGTCCTCGGGGTTTCTCCCCCCATCACTGCAGTCTGCAGAGCTGCCCCTCAGCTGCACCAGAGGAGACGTAGCAATGCCAGGTCACCCTCTCCCTGCTCCTGGTCCCCAAGGGTGAGTGACCATGTCTCCTTCCTTTGCAGACCACCATGAGAGACCTGTCCCAGATGCTGAAGAAGATGCCTCAGTACCAGAAGGAGCTCAGCAAGGTATGAGGAGGGTGGGATGTCCATGCAGAGAGCCCATCTATAGAGCAGGCTCTCCCCAGAGGGTGTCTGGCCAAAAGCAGGGGCTGGCGTGGTGGCACAGGGACCCTTCACTGGTGATGACCACACCGCTCTTGTCTCCCCAGTACTCAACCCACCTTCACCTGGCTGAGGACTGCATGAAGCACTACCAGGGCACAGTGGACAAGCTGTGTCGAGTTGAACAGGTACCACCAGCCCCACATACCCAGTGGGGACAACTGGAGCCAGCAGCTCCTGCCCCACAGCTCAGCACTGAGCCATGGGTTGAGGGATGATGAGCATGTGTGTTATCTGCAGGACCTGGCCATGGGCACCGATGCTGAAGGAGAGAAGATCAAGGACCCTATGAGGGCCATTGTCCCCATCCTGCTGGATGGGAATGTCAGCACCTACGACAAGATCCGCATCATCTTGCTCTACATCTTCCTGAAGAATGGTGAGGGGGACACATGGGCAATGGTGGCAAACAGCTCAGGGTTCAACCAGCATAAGCTAGATGGAAAAGCTTCTGTCTCCCCTTAAAAGGCTTACGTTGGAGTGAAAAGCCCCATATTCCCAGCCATCACCAGTCCTGCTGTCGTGGGGTGTGTCCCCTCATGGGGAGGCAGTTCTCAGGAGGACACCGGCTCCCTGTTACATTTCCAGGTATCACTGAGGAGAACCTGAACAAGCTGATCCAGCACGCTCAGATCCCAGCTGAGGACAGTGAGATCATCACCAACATGGCCCACCTCGGGGTGCCCATCATCACAGACGTGAGTGTCCACCTCCCGCTCCCCTTGGCCCTCCTTGCACCTCGGGAGGACCATGCCGTGTGTGCTTTGGGATCTGCCTGTCCTATGGGATACCCCCAGCACCGCATGAAGTCCCACACCAGGCCCATGTCTCAGGGTGTCTCTGTTCTCCCTCTGCCCAGTCCACCCTGCGCCGCCGGAGCAAGCCGGAGCGGAAGGAGCGGATCAGCGAGCAGACCTACCAGCTCTCCCGATGGACCCCGGTGATCAAGGACATCATGGAGGTGAGCAGCAAGGACAGGGATGAGGGATGGAGCAGGAACCTCAGCACCGCCTGGGAAGGGGCCTGCAGAGAACTGGCTGCTCCCAGCCCAAACCATGACACCTCTCCATAGAATCAGACTGGTTTGGGTTGGAAGGAATCTTAAAACTCATCCAGTTCCAACCCCTGCCACAGGCAGGGGCACCCTCCCCTCGAGTGTACAACCTGGCCTTGAACACTGCCAGGGATGGGGCAGCCACAGCTTCTCTGGACAGCCTGTTCCATACCCTGTTTGCTCCTTGTGTGCCACGATGGGCACAGTTGGGTGGCCTTATCACAGGGATGTCCTAGCCAAGCCAGGGACAAGCATGGCACCAGCAGGAGCTACCCCACGTGCTCAGGAGCTACCCGTGAACAGAGCCAGGGGTATGAACAGAACCAGGGGACCTCAGGCACCACAACTGCTCTCCAACACTGACATATCCCATTTGCTCAGACAGACAGACCCTGGATCCACATTTGCAGGGGGGGACATCAATACAGTCAGTGCCACATCTGCTCCCAGGCACCACCAGCAAGCAGAGCTGCAGCTCCAGCAGTGCCCGCAAGCCCATAAAGCTCACCTGGAGGCTCTCTGGGGGTGGCTTCATGCCCAGGGAACCCCTAAACCTCATCCCCAGGACCAGAGGGAACTGCAGAGGGCAACAGCATCTCACCAGCTCCATAGTTCTCCACCACTGAGTAAAGCAAGAACAGGGTCCTTACTCTGGGGGGAGTGGATCATAGTTGTGAAGCTTCCAGCACTAGCTCCAGTTTCTAAGGCAATGACCCTTTATTGCCACTGCTCTTACCCTGTCTCCTACTCTTACTCCTACCTCCCGCCTCAGGGTGAGCCTCCCTCCATACCCTGTGCTGCAGCCCCCTGCGCTGCCCCACAGCATCACACCACTGTTCTCCCCCTAAATGCACCCTATTACGGGAACATAGGCAAATTGTTCCATTAATTTGGCCTATGCAAATATATGCAAATGAACCCTGACCTAAATGGGCCAATCCTATCAGGTGCAGTCCTATGGAGGGCCTCTTGGGCCAGGGTTTGTGCCTGCTGCTTGCTGAGCCCATCTCTCTGCCCGCAGGATGCCATTGATGACAAGCTGGACACCAAGCACTACCCGTACATCTCCACCCGCTCCTCTGCCTCCTTCAGCACCACTGCTGTCAGGTGGGTACCAAACCCCCGGCTCCCTAGACATAGATACCTGTATCACTGATAGCATCCGTGCCTCACCTGTGGATCTGCGAGCTGCTCCGTGGTCATTCAGGCAGCCTCAGTTTCCCTATATGTAACAGCACTCGTGCCTGGAAAGCTGGACTTGCTCTAACAGCAGCTTGGGAGATAATCATAGAATCCCAGACTGGTTTGTGTTGGAAGCGACCTTAAAGCTCATCCAGATCCAACCCCTGCCCCGGGCAGGGACATCTTCCACTAGAGCAGGTTGCTCCAAGCCCCTGTGTCCAACCTGGCCTTGAACACTGCCAGGGATGGGGCAGCCACAGCTTCTCTGGGCACCCTGGGCCAGTGCCTCAGCACCCTCACAGAGAAGAGCTTCTGCCTCAGAGCTCATCTCAATCTCCCCTCTGGCAGGTTAAAGCCATTCCCCTTGTC